TATTTGCATAGGGCAGCAGGAGCTACCTGGAGATTATTACATTAGAGCTACCTAGCCCCCTAAATTCTGATTGCAGAACCACATCCCCTTACCCAACAATGTCATTAGTATCAACGTAGACCATGAATTATGGCTGTTTGTCCTCCCGCAGAAGACCCTCCCTCGGAAGACTGCAGTTTCTCTATGACATCCTCTAGCAACAGCAAGGTAATACAACATCCTGGCAAGATATTGACAGAAATACCTGCCTGTTCCCCTAAACAATCCCTATTTCCACTCTCCTTACTCACCTGCTGTCCAGCTAGGCCGCCCATGGGGCCACAGGCTTGGATCTTGCTACACATCTCCAAGAATCCATTGCCCTCACGATATCCAGAACAGAAACCTCATTAGTGAGTAGGACCTCTGCACAACCTGCTTGTTTCTCCTGGAATGTCTCATCGTCACCCATTCCCTATTTGTTTGTTTGTCCCAAATTACAATGTGGCATCTGTGTGAATATGCTATCCTTACAGTTTTTTCAGTTTTGTTGCTGGGTCAAAATCCTGCAATTCCATCCCTAATGCCATTGTGAGTCTACCTACACCAAGTGAAATGCAGTAGTGCAAAAAGGCAGCTCACTCCACCTTCACAAGGGTAACCGGTGTGACGATACTATGGCTTTAAGAGGTGTACTTTTGTCCTGATTTTTTTTTAAATGAAGAGATGTTGAAACAGAGGTGAGGGTGGTCTGCTCCAAGCCAATAAAGTAAACAGTTTGTGAGGCCTTAGACATTATTGTTTTTTAAAAAAGTTGGAACAATAGAAGCAGCAATGAAGGGGTGGGGTCAAGCTCTCACAGAAACAGGATTTTAGTGTAACTTTCAGTAGCTGGGATTTGGGAGCCGCCATGTATCTCTCCCTGTTACAGCAAAATGCTCACGTTCTCGCTCTCTCACACACACACAGACACACAGATGAGTTTTCTCTTCATGTTCGTTCTTCCTGGACTGGAGAATTGTACGTGAGACAATCTAATTTACTGAATTTGCCTTTGCCAAGGGTGTGTTTATGGGATTTTCTGTATTGGAATAGTTGCTGTTGAGTAGTCAAATAATCTTTTACTCTGTTAAGTTTTCCAATAGAATGAAATTATTCCAAATCTTCTTTCTTTTGATTATTCTTACGCTATAGTTAGAATACAAAGTGTATTTGCTTTAATCCTGGTAGTTTGACCAATTGAATTGCATCCAGAAGGCCTTGCCTATAAAATAAGAAAAAATTGGGGTTTTTGTTATCTTCTCAATATATTTTGAGGGGTTTGGTCTGGTTCATAACACTAGGGAGAGCCAATAAATGCGAACGCAGCCAACAATGCCCACGTTCCATGAATGAATAAAAAAAATTACTGTAATTTTAAGCACTTTTCCCTACTTGAATTCACTTTAACACTTTCTTTAAACATTAACTATAAAATGGGGATTAGATTATTACGAAGCAGAAATTCTTGCCCTTACTCACACATCAGTTCCCTTGCCGATGCCTGCACATTCTTACTTTCCCGGTTGTATTTTAGAAATTAGCATTTTTCGAAATTACTGGAGTTGAAACATAATCCTGAACAGCGCTGCTCAACTACCAAATGACGTGCCAATGTCTCATCAGAGCTGGTACACGAATTGTTTCCTATTCCTGGAACTGTGTTGATGGTGTAAAATCTGATGTTAATAGATTATTTTTATATTACTGTGCCCAAATACCATCTTTCTCTGGCAAATTATCTCTCTTCATCCAATTTTTCTTCGTCAGGCTTAACCAGAGCAGACTTTTCCTCCCCTTCATTCTAATCAATCTGAACCACGCACAAGTTAATATTTAGCTCATCCTTGTACTAACAAGCAGATAAAACAATGTATTCAGAGGAAAAAGCAGCAAGAAGATCTTGGAAGTGAACAGGCTGGCTGGAATGAAGCTCCATTTTGAGGCGTACAAGATGAGTGGAATCAGTTGTGTCATTCGTAAGCTTTCCTGCTTTTTTTCCTTTATTCATTGTAACTGAGGCAAAAATGTATCATCTCAATCATGTAGATCAAAGTTTTGAAGTCCATTTCTTCCACGAGAGAGTGACTGCTGTTATTTATGGCTAAAATAACATCAACTATTCACCGAATTAATAAAAAAACAAGTAGCCAATTATTTCATTAGTTAGGTATGCATTGTAATTCAATGATGACTCTAATATTTTTTCCAAAATATTTTCCATCGGAACTACGAAGGCAAAGGGCACTTCAGTATATGTTAGAATGTCATGGGAACCACCATACTAAATTTCTCCCACAGAGCCCTCCTCTGAGAATACAAGATTTGGCTCCAAACTATCATTCCAAGTAAAATGCACAGGCTTTACTTATTAAAAAGCAACAAACTACTTAAGGTTCCTGCTATAAATAACAGTTGAAAGTTTCCAAGCTCATCAACCCATAGTCATTAACTGCATTGAGGGAAAAAAAACCTGCATTAAAATGATTTCATCCATATTTATACATAATCCTACTGAATTACATTAATCAGATGATGGGCAATTTCCCCATGGCATCTCAAGATCCATACGCACTGGGAGAAAATTGTGAACATTTGCTTCATATACAGCAAGTTAACAGGCATATTTTCGGTCCTCTCCAAACTCTAAAACAAATTAACCTTCTGCTGTCTTCCTTGGATCTTGACTTGTCTGTTGTTTGATTTTGTCTTTAAGTTTTAGAAGAGACAATCCCTTTTAAGTGCTATGCCGCCAGCTTAAACTCACCTGGGCCTGCTCAAATGATGTTTTGTTTTAACAAGAGGATCACAGGAATCATTAACATTAATCAGTGAAGGAGATCTGTCATTCTTACCTGGTGGGCTACATGCAACTCTAGCAACATTGTCATAGCTGCTCTCTAAGATGACTTAGAAAGCCACTTGATAGTATCAATCTGCTAAACAGAAAAAAAAATGAAACTGAACAGACCACCTCACATGGATTTAGGCATTGGAAACAACAATAGCAAACTCAGTCCTGTTGACCCTATTAACATCTGGGGGCTTATGCCAAAATTGGGAAAGGTGCCCCAGAGATCCTTCCAGCAAATACCTACTGCAGTCATATTCACAGAATCAAACCTTACACGCCATGTCCCAGACAACACCATCATGATCTCTAATTACGTCCTGTCCCAACGGCAACACAGACCCAACAGAGGTGGTGGCACAGTGTATACAGTCAGGAGAGAATTACACTAGGAGTCCTCAGCATTAACATCAGGTCAAACATGGGCAAGGAAAACTACTGCTGGTTAGCACATTATCCCCACCCTATCTGGTGAAGTAGTGCTCTTCTATGTTGAGCACCACATGGTGGAAGAGGGTACAAAAATGTACTCTCAATGGAGACTCAATGTTCATCATCAAGACTGTCCATGACAGTATCAGTAGGAGTGACCACCACATTGTCATTGTGGAGATGAAGTCCCATTTTCACACTGAGACTATCTTATTTGTGACAGTAGTTGTGTCACACAGTGAGAGTGAGATTTTAAAGAAAGCTGGTGCGGGGAAAGCTACTAGTCTGACATATTCCCAGGAGCAGATGGCATGCATCATCAGATCTTAAAGTGGCAGTAAAGTCAGTACAACATTAGTTATAGACTTCCATGATATTTTAGATTCTGCAA